ATGCGCCCGCGCTTTTCAAGCAGCGCCACGTGGCAACCGACAGCGGAGGGTGGGGCTTGCGGACGAAGGTGTGAGTTGCGGGTCGGACGAGCTCCTTGCGCCTTTGTCGCGCACTTTCAAACGGCAAAAGGGGCGCGACATCAACACTTGTCCGCCTGTCTACCACCCCGGGTTCTTTCTGCTCCAGACACTGGTTCATAAATTACATGGAGCGAATAGCCAGTGCCTTCTTTTTGTACTTCATACGAGTGAGATGAACCCTTTGTGTTATTTTCAAGTTTTAGTATTCAAAACATGTGCATTTATTATCACTATAAGAATAAACGGCAGTTTGACGAAGTCAATTGGTTCTAGGATCAAGTGGAATCCATCTACCTGCACAGCGGGGTCATCTATTCAGTTGACAACTTATTTTAAGTAACGCCATATCGTGGATCAGCATTTCTCAATCAGGCAGCATCAATATATCTTCAGCCGATATGCTAGCTGTCCATTAATGCGAAATGATGAATATATACCTTATGTTTGAGTGCAATCATTTTATAGCAGGCAATATCAGAGAAGAAAGATTATAGGGGAACTCGCTCAACTTTGGTGGAGGTTTTATCGCAAACATAAACTTCAAGATCCATCTTAGAATACTAATCTTCAATGATAGGCGCTCAACTGCATTCGCTGTAAGTGCAGGCTTGCACGTCATCTAAATATCGCAAACAACTTGCCTTGTTCGACTTGCCTCATAATGCTTTCAGTTTATATGCTGGGACGGGTTAACTGAATAAATTATTATATATAAAGTGAGTTGAGAAGCTTGTCGTTGCGTTTTTTGAGTATTTTGAAAATCAATTAGCTTAGAGGTCAATCATACACACCCTTTGATTTCGGCAGCCAGGTGAATGTCCACTAATAAGTCTAGGCTAGCAAATTCAACTGATCCTCAGTAACATTTGTTTTATTCTTCAAAAAAAAACTGACACTGGCGATGTAGAATTCCTCATCGCATTTTGGAAGAAGATGGCTCAAGCAGGGCCCAAGCGAGGGTTGAGGAAAACTCTGAGATACGATTTCAGTTCTTGCGACATATATATTGCCCTTGCAGCAGCTTATCTACTAGGGGAACATGTCGTGAAATTGAACACGATTCAAGTAACCGTGAGTTCTTCAATGTAAACGAACAATGTTAAAGAAGGTTCGGAAATTTTTGAAGAGCACGAGCCAATTCGTGAAAACAATGAGAAAAAGCCATTCGGATATTTGATGAGAGTTTTTTAAGGAACGCGAGAACGTCTGCCCTACCTAATGGATGAAGAAATTAATGTGGAGGTATTCAGTGCAGATGCGGGACTTTTGGCTCGTCCGGGCTGGCACGCGGCGAATTGCGCGGCGGCATGCGCGGCGATCTGGATGAGACAAGGCTTCGCGGGTTCTGCAATAGAATTCAACACGTCAAAGCGTAAGAGGGATAAACTTCACACGATTCTGCGGTTTGATATAGCTTTCCGCGCGCGGAGATTTGAACGCAGTGGTGGGTATAATGAGATTTGAGCGCAAAGAAATGAGAGAGAGCACCTCCACGAAAGTGCCACCACTATCGCCAAAGCGAGTGAGAAACTAAATCAGGAGTTTTTACTGAGATAATGTAATGTTTGTCAATTACATATATATTTTGATGATCGCGGTGCTCATGTCCTTCGGGATAACATTCTAGGCAGGGCCTATGACGGATGACGCTAAGACTGAGCGCGAGCGGAGAATCGTCAGGTAGAGAACAAATTGCTCATATCGTACCTTAGAATCCGTTCCCTTAACCAAGGCTCAGCTCCAAGCACAGTAATGGGCTCGCTCACCTGAACGTCCTCCCCCCCCCCCAACGACCAACGACATGAGCGCTCTGATCCTCTTAAAATCACTGTGCTTTCTTCTCATCCATTCCTACTGAAGTTTTCTTGCGATCACTGCTGTGCTCAAATCTACTAAATCTACTCTCTATTTTAGGTAATTTGAATCGCAGAACCTTGCAAATTTCATCAGCAATATGCCCACGTTTTCGCGTGTTGATTTCCACCGCAAAAGCCCACGATTGGCTTCGTCCGAATCGTCGCGCAGTTCGCCGCGCACTTTGCCGCGTGCCAGCCCGGACGGAACGGGGAAAAATCATGAGGCCAAGTTTCTGTATAGAATTCTGGCATTCCTTCGTTACATGTGGTTGCGAGCTGCTGCGCAGTGGAACAATTTCATGTTTGGGAAACCTCAACTTTGCGATATCCGAAGCAATTATCCAGTTGTAAGCAAGAAGTGTCTGCGCCAGCAGGACGGTATCGTTTGCAGTCTGTAATGGTGCAATCCTACAATCGGGGAGCGGAACCTATTAACAGAACTCCGGGTGAAGTTCACCTATTGGGGCTCGTTGTCGCTGCTGAGCTGCGTGTTC